AGAAATCCGTATCACGCTTAGGGAAGAAATAAAAAGAGTTAGACTGTTGCAACACTGTTTAAAAGTTAGACTCGTTACTTCAACATTAGATACATGTATATCTAATCTTGGAAATATTATCCCCATCAAGCTCTCCTAAACTTTGGCCTTGTTATATATGATAATATAGTAATTGCTGCTAGAGTATTCTCACTATTTCTTAATCGTTCCTGCTAGCTATATATATATATATATATATATATATATATATATATATATATATATATATATATATATAATTATATTCTACATTATCTATTATACAAAGGAACTGATATGGCATAAGTGAACTTTATTTTTGAAGGTGAGATTTAACACGGTATCTGATTTTGTTGCTCTCAGGCAACATAGTCTTTATAAGCACCTAGGTCAGTTTCTACTATATATAGCTGTTATGTGACAATAATAACTGTAAGCAACAAGTCATGTTAGTTATATAAAACTAAGTTAGTTATATAATAAACATTTAATTATGTTTGAAGAAAAATAATTTGAATACATGGGATACGTGTAATTGGGTGTGCCATAATTTTTATTGCCAAACGTTTGTTAGGAGAATTATGAGGTTAGATTTTTACGTCGTATTTAACCCTTAACCCTTAATATAAGTCAAAAGTAACTACATAATTATTATAATTGGGTCTGTACGACCCATTTTCATATAAAGAAAACGCAAATTTTTTTTGATAATTTGTTTATTTATGATCTAAGATTACAAAATAAAGTACCATAAATGGTTTAAACATAAATTTAAGCTATTCTATGCATTTTTTGCATACTTGGACACAACATTGTAAACATACAGACATTTTACACTCTGCTTCGTTTTTCTGTCTTTTTTGACTGGACAGCCATTTATTTTTATTTTTCGATTCCTATTGGCTCGAGGAGGCTCAGGAACAATTAAAAAATTAGTGCCAAGAATATCTGCAGCAATAGCTCGAATCTGTCGGGGCACATTGGAGTTATATATTCTTCTCTTCATCTGTTTAACGTACAAGCTTTGGGCTAATTGTTTTAGTAATTTTTTGGAACTGGGCAAGTGTCAATACACACTCAATTTTGATTTGTATTATGGTAATACTGCTGCCAGCAATAGAAGATTATTGGATTACTTTTTCAACAATTCCTCTTGTGAACTGGATAGGTCTTTGTTCAACACGGAAAATATCAAAGTAAAGCGAGGCTGTCTATCAAGACCCATTATTCCTCGATTAGAATTAGGCTTATATTTATAATTTTTTAGTTTTCGGGGGTTTATATGTAATAGATTTTTTTTTATTAAATCAATTAAATTAGGACCTGGGGATGTGGATTTTAAGTTAAAAAGAGAAAAATCTCATTCTTGCAAAGTTATGGGTACATTTATGGGAGAGATCTGGTTGCGAATTTTGATGTCTACGGATTCTGTGGTAATCTTGTGTGTAGAAAAAATTGAATCTAGTACAGAATCGCTAGAGTTTTTTTTAAATACCTCTACTGAAATTTCAGAAATTTCGTTTCTACAAGAGATGATTTGGTTGTTATATAAAAGTGCATTTATTGAGTATGGTAAACTTGATCCTTTTATTTTCTTTATTTTGTTCCAGATTATATTTGCTGGGGTAGATGTGTTAATGCTTCTAACATATTCAATCCAGGTCTTCTTCTTATTCTTTTTTAATAAGAATCGTGTACTAGCTCTTAATATCTTAAATTTTATTAGGTTTTCCTCTGTTTTGTACCTCTTAAGAACGTTAAAGGCGTGGTTGCTAACAGCCAAGGCCCGAGAGATTTCTTGATTTCACCAAGGTACCGGTTGCCTTTTACACGGTTTAGTTTTTCCTACAGATGAAGATGTACAATTTAAGATAATGTTGTTAAGGTTCGTGAGGGTTTTTTGAATGTCATTTTTTATTTCATAATTTTCCATCTCGTCTTCCAAGTCTTTTTGAAAAGGTTCTCAGTTTGCTGATTTTATTTTGCATTTTTGATATACATTTGGAATAAAAGGTTGATTTGTCTCAAATGAGATAGATAAGTAAGGGGAAGTGGTCATAGTCATGCAGAGTTTTTGCTGTGTTCCATTGAAACATGTGTGCTAGTGATGGGCTACACAGGGCCAGGTCAATTGCAGAGAACGATCCGTTATATGAATTGAATTTTGTTGGCTTTCCAGTGTTTATTAAGATTAAATTTGATTTATTTATCAGACTGTGTAGAAGGTTGCCACATTTATTGATTTTTTGGCTACCCCATGCTGGGTGGTGGCATTTAAAATCGCCTAGAATTGCTTTGGGATGGGGTAATTTTTCTATGAGTGCTGTTAGTTCATTTATGTCATCTTGGTTAGGATGCGGTAAGTATATATTGCAAACATTGTTGTTTTTACTGTAGGTGATTGAAACAGCCACAGCTTCCAGGTTTGTAGTAAGTGGAATGATTTTTGCTTCAGTGTCACTTCGAATGAAAATAGCTACTCCACTAGCATGCATTCCATTTCTGTTTTTCAGAAATGGCAGATAATTTCTAAGTGTTACAGAATTGTTTTTAAAGTGAGATTCTTCCAGACAAATTACAATGGGGAAACATTGTTTATAAGAAGTTTTAATTGCTCAAGCTGGGCGTAGAATCCGTTTAGGTTCCATTGAATTAAAAATGTATCAGACATTATTTATCCTGACTAATTGTGTCGTTGTCAGATTCTTCTGTAGATGAATAATAACTTGAGAATAATGTTTTCTTAATAGTTGTAATTGTTCTTTTTAAAGAGGGATTTTGAATATTTGAGTAAATAATAAGTGAGTATGTGAATAATTTCGGATATTTCATTGGTGTAATATTTTGCTATAAGTTCAGGCTTTTTAGAGTTAGTGGCATTTTCTAAAAATAGGCATATATTTGAATAACCTATAGGAAAGGGCAGATTTTTTTTGTTCTATTAAGTTTTTAATAGAGTCGAGGAAATTAAATGTGTTTTCAGTCGACTTGGCTCTTTTTTTTGGTTTAGATATTTTGGGAACAGAGAAGACCTCTTGTGATGTGGGAATATCAGAAACATCTGGACAATTTGATAATTATCTTTTGGCCTAATCTTTATTTAAAGGTGGGTTATCGTTGCTAGTTATAAATAGGGTAGGAGCTGGAGGGTTATAGGGAATATTTACTTCAGAAAGAGTTTTATTGGTGGTTTCAGTTAGCCGTATATTAGTTTAGTTATTTGCATTATGATTTTCAGGTACTTCTGTTTCCATTTGTTCAATAGGCGAATCCGTTTTATGACTGCAATCAACTTCTCGGTGTTCTATTGTTCGACATTTAGAACAATTAAATTCATCTATAGAAAGGTATATTCGATATGTTGTGGAATCAAAAGAAATGTTGAAAGAGTCCGTTATGGATAAGTTTTCTAATATATTGATGTAGATTTGCCCTCCGAAAACTTAGAACATGGTTATATTTTATCTCAGACATACCCACTCGAAGTAATGTCATTTTTGATATGGCTATAATTCTCATTTTCTTGAGTTCGTCTTCTATAACTTCGTTTGAAATGGTTGGACAAACATTCGAGATGACTTATCTTAATGCTGGAGTTATTAATCTGCGGACTTCTACTTGCATGTTGCTAATTTTAACGTGTTTATGTGAATTTATGAGTTGGTCTAATATTCTTTTAGAAGAAAAAATTAGTGCAAATGCGGTTGTTTGCAATTTTCGAGGCAAAAACTATGTTCTTTGGAAGGACAAGTGATACAATGGCAACTATATAATCATGAATTTTAATTTCTTCTATAGCAGATAGTACATTAGCTTGGTCTTTTGTCGGATATTTGAATGTAGTTAGTATGCTTGACTATGTAGGCGGTGTGGTGTTTTCTGAAGGATTATTTACCTTTTGATTAATTTTTAGTTATAAATTTTTGTCTTTAAATTTATTTATCATAGTCAATTTTTTCCCGTGCCAATCCAGCTCTGTATTATCAGCAGACTTTTAAATAAAAGTCGCTTTGGGAACCGGTCGGAGCGGCTTTGTAATAATTATGTTAACTTCTAGAATATGTTGTATTATGTATTATTGAAGATATTAATTGTACTCACTGTAATTACAGGCCAATCGATGAAAAGCTCTGTAGATTTTCTAGTAAACACGTTTACCTATTTTTGTTCACTTTAATCTCAATTAATTTTTATAATCATAATATCATGTTTCTATCACGGCGATAAACGTAGAAGGACGTAGAGGCCGAGGACGCTCACCTATCCGATGGTCAGATCAAGTACAGAGAGCCACTGGAGAGACGTTTTCCGAGTCCATGAGAGCAGCCCAAAATCGCAAGAGATGGAGAGAATTGACAGCCCGCATTGTAGGGAATCACGATCCTCAGCAATGAGGAAACGACAAGAGAGAGAGATCACGGCGATGAGTTGGCTCGTCATTTTCTCATCACGACACTTTGTTATTTCACCGATGAAGATCACCAGCATAAACACTTGTGTTAGCGTTACTTAATATCTGAGAAGACTCCACAGTATATCAGACAAGCAATATATAGAAAAAAATAGGCAAAAAGCCTAAATTGTAAAGTTTTCTACAAACTTTATTTTTATTTTAATTGGTTTATTAGCAGGTCAGACATAAATTTATTTGTTTGTTAAATTACCGACCATTGTTGTAAATATTTCAATAAACTTTATTTTCATTGCTTCTGATTTATGGATTATTGTGTAATTTATAATATTTTCCAATTAATACAAGAAATATGTTCATAGTTCAACAGTGTGTATAATTGATTCTCCACTGTCTTATCCACAAAAACTACACACATTTTTCGTTGCAAAATTTAAATACTAAATGCGTACCCCTTGTATATGAGAGAGAATTGAGTATATTGATTGTGTAACAATGATAAATAAAACAAGGAATACCTAACTCAGAGTTAGCCAGCTGTCTATTTCTTGTGTTAGATAAGACAGATTCTAAGATCGGCATTTGCCAGAACTTTTTATTAATTATTTTAATATTATATACCATTGCACAACATTTTTCATACATAAAAATCAGCATTTTGAAAATAAGTATTACAATTCGCCTTTTACTTTTAAACTTACAGGACTAACACTCACTATATTGGGTATAATAATACACTTATAGACATAATAAACATTATAATATTTATAAAAGTAATTGTGCGCAAATTGGTTTAGCCACCTTGTTACACTCATCTTCAGTGGAGAAATTGTTCTTAGTATAATAGCATCCATGAACCAAGCTGCGTACACAAGACCTGGACTTTACGTCCCATCGCCATAGTCGTTGAGGAGCAATAGGGCAGATTGGAAGGCGTGGAACACTAGCAGGTTTAGAGCAATCTAAAAAGAAAGAGGCGATGAAGAGCAATGTGTGTATTTGAACAAATAATATAAAAACAGAAATATTACAAAATATATCAAGTTTAGAAACTAGAGGTGGGTCGTTGATATTTTTATCGGAATCGTTTTTCGTAAACTGTAACTAGTTGATTGTTTACCAGTAGTTTCAAATAAGCGAGTGCACAAACAAACATATTAGCTATTATCGTTTATGTGTATAAGTATTGAAGTGAAAGAAACTAACGAGGGATATATTTATTATAACTGAAAAATAAATTAAACAATACAAATAGCACTTACATTTACATTACACATTCTTTAATCGCGAATCGTCTAAATGGACATTTAAAAGTTTTTCCACTTTTCTTGTTAACCGTGTTCTTTTTTTGTTTAAAATTAAACCAGATTTTGAACATTTTTTCACAAGGAACAGATTTTGTTACAATACTACAATATTTTATGAATATAGTGGTTAAGTTGGGATATACATGGTGATGTTTTTTCCACCACTGTAATTGACTGTTCCAATCTCCGTTCAAAACTTTTGAAAACTATTGAAAATCAACCAGTACAAGAAAAAGAAAACGATAAAGATGACTTAAGTCCATGGTGTATTTTTGATGAAATAATTGGACATGACTCATCTAAACGGACACCTGTATCGAGTGTCCATTACAATGGTGGAAAAATCGTCGCCATGTATATCCTAACTTAACCACTATATTCATAAAATATTGTAAATGTAAACACATGTTCAAAATCTAGTTTAATTTTAAATAGAAGAAGAACACGGTTAACAAGAAATAAAGTAGAAAAACTTATGTTTTTAAATGTCAATTTAGACGATTCGCGATTTAATAATAACGTGTAATGTAAATGTAAGTACGAATTACTATTTGTATTGTTAAGTTTATTTTTCAAGTTATAATAAATATATCCTTTATTAGTTTCTTTCACTTTAATATATATATATATATATATATATATATATATATATATATATATATTACATATTTTATTAAGAACATAAAATATATTATTAACTCATCTGGCTCCTAAAAATAATAGCGAAAACTATGCAAATAATTTTTAATTTAAAGAATGTTTTTACACAAAACACATATTTAAAAAACTTTTAAAGACAAACATTTAGGTAAAATTATGTTGTAAAATCCTTACAGAAAATGTAATCATATTATATAACTCAGATATAAATAAAAATAAATCAATCGCAGTATATTTCTTTAGAACAAATATATATGTGATTAAACAATTATATAAATAAATAATATTAATAAATAACTACGGTTTTCATATCACAATAATAAATATTTACCTTCTGGTCCATAATTGCGATCTGCATAAATGGATACAGTAAAACAGACAAACAAAACTAAGATACTGCACAATTTCATTTTTGATTTCGATACGAGTAGAAGTAACAGACACCTGTAAACCAAAAGTTATGCTTTATTAAAATAAATAATGTTTGATTTATATTATATGTTAAGACTATAAACGGCATCATGTGAGCGACGGTTAATTGGTTTTAAAAAATGTTATTAGGTTTGAACAATATAAACAATACAATTATGTAAGATGTACCTACCATAAAATATATCTTACAATGGGTAGACTGTACACAATTTAATTAAAAACAGCAATAAAAATTCGAAACATAAAATAACAGTTTTAATAAAAATGTTAACTATGGCTAAAATATTCAACCACTTCATATCCATAATTCGTAACCTATGTTTCTCGCTAAAAGTTCGGCCACACACTATTAGGTACATCTGACAGGCACACCCACGATACACATGGCCACCAGAGGAAATAGTAAAAGACCTACAAAAACGACAACATAAAGCCATTAAAGCTGACAAGAAATTCAAATAGAAAACTAAAAAAACAACTAGATATGTTCATCCTAACATTAAGACAGGATGAAGATATAAATAGAATTTACGTCATACGTCATCAATTTACGACAGACATACTCAGTACGAGAGTTGAAATCGAGCCATTAAGGAGTTCCAGATTAGTCCTACAATGTAAAAGATGCCAGGCTTACAGACAAACGTGGAAATACTGTAAAAAATAGCCAAGATGTGTAAAATGTATTGATAAACACCTTTCTAAAGATTGCCAAAAACCACCAGAAGATAAACCAAAATGTGTTCATTGTGGAGAAAACCATCCTGAAAACTACCGCGGATATTATGTAGCTAAACAATTACAAACCATAAAAAACGAGAGAACAAACAAAGACAATGTTATATAAGCGCCCCATAGAGTTATTAAAAGCAAAAAACTAAAATCGGCAGAGGTCAGTGAAAATAAAGTAACAGCGATGTAACAAAGAATGCAAGGAAACATGCATCAACGCAACAAGAAAAAGAAACTGATATTACATTAAAAATTATATTGGAAAAGCTCACCAAGAATGATGACAAAATAACTCAAATCGATATCAGAGTTACTCGACTAGAGCATAGCGCTAAAGGAGCTATTCCGAAAATTAGAAATGGCTAAAGACCTCCGAATAATGGCTGGAACGCAAATGGACTATTACATCATCAGATCGAGCAAGCAGTACTAGATATTGAGAAAATTGATCTGTGTCTCGTTTCTGAAACACATTTCACTAAACAGTCATATGTACAATTTAGGGGATATAGAGTATATTCTACTGTACACCCAAGTAATGCAGCTAAAGGAGGAAGCGCTATTAGCGTGGCGACTTTAATGCAAAAAATACCCACTTGGGCCCTAGACTAACTACAACTAAAGGAAAAGAACTATTGTCAGCTGTTAAGGAACAAAAGGGTGAAGTAATCTCTACTGGTAGACCAACATATTGGCCTACTGATAGGAACAAAATTCCAGACCTGATACATTTCTTTAGTTACAAAAATATCTCAGCTAACTATCTGGATATCAATGACGGCTGGGACATGAACTCTGATCACTCACCGATAATTTTAACTATGAGTCAAACCGTAATTAAAAAAGAGTTCAATCCAATATTGTCTAATACAAAAACTGACTGGGAGAGCTTCAAAATAAACCTTGAACACAAAATTAATCTTGCTGTGCCATTGAAAAACACGAGGTAACTTGATGACGAATTAGAAGTTTTTTAGTTTTTTAAAAAAATATCCAACACTCAGCTTGGAAAAATACTCCCATAATAACTTCTAGAACAAAAGGAAACAACTATCCAAAAAAAATCAGAGAAATCATAGTAGAAAAAAGGAAGTTAAGAAAAAAATGACAGCAATACAGAGCTCCACGAGACAAAACTAGTCTAAATAATGCTACACAAAAACTAAAAAAGGAGATACAGAATATAAAAAATTCAACCATTAATTATTTTTTAAGTAATTTAACAGCTGACCAGAACACAGATTATTCGTTATGGAAGGCAACAAAAAGAATGAAGGGACCAATTATTCATTCTCCTCCTATCAAGTCAGAAAAAGGCAACTGGGCTAGAAGTAAAGAACAGAAAGCAGAACGATTTGCAGATCATTTAGAAAGCACGTTCAAACCTAACGACAATGATGGTGAAGAACTGAGATGGAAATAACCATTCCAAACTTTGACATCACTTACATAAATATCAACAGAGATACAAGAGAATATAAATCCTAAGAAATCTCCAGAATATGATCTCATAATAGGAGACCTATTAAAAAATCTACCAAGAAAAGCCATAGTTAAGCTGACAAACCTAATAAATGCTGCTTTTATTCCCAGACTCTGGAAAGTAGACGAAGTGTGAAAATATATCACAAAAAATTTATTTCAAATCCTTTATAAAAGGTATATAATAAAATGCCCAAACGGGCTATCACAATTACATTACAAAACGTTTTCGGATTGTTAAATCCATCATCAGTGTAAACCTGAAAGTAAATAACCACTTTAATTAAAAAGAACGTTAAATTTAAAATGTTGACTAAGGTTAAAGCAAATGTGGTTAATACTTACGAGGTATACATGCTATGTATACCTCGTACTATATGCTATGAGCCACCAAAATATATGGGTCAGAACCCTTTAAATGTTATAAATTTACAGTTGTTTTACATTATACATGGTTACAGATTAGGATGTTTAAGTTACCGTTGAAATTGGTAACATGGCCACGTATGACCCTACATAGGTAAAATGGTCCTGAGACGAAGTGTCTTCGAGGACCTGTTGATAGCAACTGATCAAAATGACATTGTTGACATGTTAGAACGGATGTTGTGTCAGAGCAGTCAGTGTAACTTACGGTAGTTGTCGAAAAATGACAGATGCCAGCATTATTTAAAATTGAAAAAAAAATAAAATTATAATAATGTAACAGTATCAACCATCAATGTTGTAGTCTGTAATGTGAATTAATCAATATTGGAAACATTGAAAGAATTGGTTTTTTAAAATTAATGTGGGTAAACTGGAGTTTATGAAATTTTGTAGGATCAATAGGCAACCAACTATACATGTGTATGGATTTATTTATTCTAAGCTGAAGATTTTATCGAAAGGCCCTGTATGTTGTGTAACATTTGGTACCTAGAAAATGGTAAGAAAGCACATGTAGGAGATGGGTCCTATAAGATTTATTAATGAGGAGTAATGTAGTAAAAGGTGTGTTTAGATCTGTTGTTGAGCTGAAATTTAAATATGACAAGAATATGATTGTAATGTGATGTTCATGTAGTACTTAACTTAAAACTTAAGCATGGAAGGCTCTCTATGTCAAAAAACAATATTTGGCACTTGGTAAAAATAAAAGATTTTTCAAGTTATAATTACATGAACATGAATTACTGGTTATGTGTGAAAAATAAAGATGGTAGGTTGTTTTTGTGTGTGGACAAGTATGCCAGAACTAAATATTATCAGATAAATAGCAGTCAACAACGGTTATGATCATAACATCATCAATAAACTCATTTATAAAAAATGTCGTAGGAAAATGCAGGAGGCTGCGTGCCCCGGGGATCCTACCACCAAACCCAATTACGTTTCACTTCCTTATCATCATTTCACTTATTTTTAGTATACGGCGGTAGCACCGCATCTCAAAGCTTTCAAGATTTTTAACATTCCTCTGTTTAAGGGTCTATGCCTCAATGCCGTAAAGCAAAGTACTGAATTTTTGGTCATATATTAAAGGTCATCTAATTGAAGGTCATATATTTGGTTTTTTTGACGTTCATCCTTATGCCGTTGTTATCACATATTTCATTCATACTTTCAACTAGATGTAGATCTTCCGCTATTCTTGCCATTATCACAGTATCATCAGCATATCAAATGTTATTGATAACTTCTCAATTGACTATTATCCCTTCGTTTGCATGTGAGAGAGCTTCTTGGCATATTTGTTCGCTGTAGATATTCAACAAGAGCGGTGACAATATACAAGCCTGTCGTACTCCTCTACGTATTTCTATTTCGTCCGATGTATGGTCTTCTATTTTTATATCATTTCGCTGATTCCAGTATAAATTTAATATTATTTATATTTTTCTGGTGTCGATGTTCTTAACCTCCAGGATTCTTTTGAGTTTATTGTGGCGTACTTTGTCAAAGGCCTTTTCAAAGTCTATAAAGCAGGCATGCACCTCTTGGTTAACATCTAGACATCTCTGTGTTAGGACGTTTAAGGCAAAGAGAGCTTCTCTTGTACCTAATCCTTTTCTGAATCCCATATGTGTATCGTTGATATCGATATCTAACTTTTGATAGATTCGGTTATAGAATAGAATTTGATAGTTTTCTTCGGTATGGTGACAAACGTAGACAGCAACCATTCTTGAGGTATTATACCAGTACTGTATATTGTATTAAATAGACGTAATATTATGGTTACGGATTTATCATTCAAAAGCTTCAACAGTTCTGTAGTAATTTCATCAGGCCCATTTGCTTTTCCATTTTTAGCGTTTCTTATTGCGTATTCTACGTCTTCTTTCAATATGTCTGGCCCAGTTGCATTGATTATCTGAATTAAGTTGTTTTTATCGTCTGCAAATAATTCATCCAGGTATTCTATCCATCTTTTTATTTTATTCTCTAGATCTACAATAAGAATTTCACCTTGGTCTTTAGGTTTACCTATTTGGCATTTCTTTATGCTTCCTGTTACCTCTTTTACTTTTTTGTGCATATTGAACATATCGTACTTTTTTTCATGGGTTTCCATTTCTTCACACTGTTCTTTAATCAACGCCTCTTTGGATTCTTTTATTCTCTTTTTTATGTGTTTGTTTATTTCTTTGTATTTGTCTAGGTAATTTTTTATCTTTCTTCTTTGTTCCATCAAGTCTAGTATATCCTGTGTCATCCATCCCTTATTATTTGTTGTTGTTTTTGTAAGTTGTATATTTTTGTTTATAAGTTTATTTAAATCTAGTGCCTTTCTGTGTGGTCTTCTAATCATTTTTGGTCTCGCCTCTATCACAGTAACTACCGGGTTATGACCTGAGCCTATATAGCTCCTGGGACGTCTTGGTGCATTTACAGCATTACGATATCTCCTTGCTATCATAATGTAGATTGTCTAACAATAATAACTAAAACAAGGAATGCATAACTCAGTATTAACCGGCTGTCTATTTCTTGTGTTAGATAAGTCAGTTTCTAAAAGCGTCAATTGCCAGAACGTTGTAGCAACCATTCTAGTATATAAAAAATTTATGAATTAGTGAAAAACATATGGATGCAAGAAAATATGCCAAAAATATGAATGAATGGTCAGAGGCACTATGCCCGATCATAAACAGGGTGTGGCAGTCCAGTGGGACTGCCGGTAGAAGTTATACTTCTATATACGCGTTCACCGTTACAAATTTATATGGGAGTCAATCTGCACAATCATTACATATGTAATGCTATAGGTAAGAGAGAGCAGAAAGAGAAAAATAATTAGTTATATAGGTATATGGTGCATCGTTTGCTGTATATAAACATTTGGCCTGTAATAGGAGTATAGTAAATGAAGGATTGTATCAATATTTTAATAAAAATATATATATATATATTTTTATTTTCATATATGTATAAATGGAGCTGAATGCAAAAAAAAAATTTATACATACTCTGTAATAAAATTTATTGTTTATTTTAATATTAATATAAAAATTACAATACAATAAATACACTGCAATATAATTCAATATAATAATACAATATAAATTAAAATGCAATATTCATAAGTATTTAAAACTGCCAATATACATAACTTACTTTACGAAGATAAAAATAGAAAACCAACAACTCGGATTATTTATAAATTTTTATTTTATTTTAAAATTTAGCATTTTTATGTATATTACATATATTTAATAAGATTAACGTGAGGTTTTTAAATATTTCAAAAATAAAAAAGGAAATTCATATTGGGATTTGAACTCACAAACACTAGCGTATGAACCAAACACGTAAAGGATTTGCCAGTTAGAGATGACACTTACGGATTTTAAAATTGACAGTTCTCGGTCAAACAGTGATTATTCTAAAATACAAAAGCCTAAAATAATTATAAACGTTTAATAAATAATACAAAATATATCGCATAAATAATAATATTAATACATATTATATTATAAATATATATATATATATATATATATATATATATATATATATATATATATATATATACAGTGATGAGTGCTTTATCATCCGGCTTTTTAACGTAAGAGATAGAAAACACAGTTTCCTTGTGAAATAAAAAGAGATAAAACTCGTAGAGGTGGGAAATAATCGATAGAAACCTATAATTTACATTACATTGCATTACCACCATCGACAGTCTCACACCTTTAGACGTTATACGTGGCTATTTGACTTCAGTCATAATTATACGGATAACCTCAAAAATATTTTATTTTAATAATTTCTGATGTTAGAATAAATACTTGAATAAATTAAGATATATTATAGTAAAAAACATTAATTAGTAGCGATTTTAAATTATAAATCTTTAAATTTATTTAATAGTAAAAATAACTCAACTGAAATATTTGACTAAAATAAAGCTAGGTATGTTTTGTCCGAAAACAATTAATGCATGTGAAATTGGTGTAGTGGTTAGGGACGTTGTCTATTGACGAGTAAATTGGGGTTCAATTCACACCAAGGATAAAATTTTTGTTTTATCAATAAAAAAATAATAGAAAATATGATACATATTAGGTAACAAATTTTCGAAAAACTCATTATTTACAATTTATTTTTATTCCAATGGTATAAAACGGAAATACAAAATAATTCAAATTCAATTCATACAGTCTTTAGAATGTTAATATCAATTCCTCTTTACAGGTAATGATTTTCAAAACAATTAACAACATTGGAATGGATGCGCGCGAAGCGAAGCCTTTAAGCCATCAAATAATAACATATCGAGAAGTCTTTTTGCACGGTAAACAGAAACTTTTTATTGAAAAAACAATTCGTGAAAATGGTTTTAACGGTCGAGGAAAAAGTGCAAATTGTTGTCTGGTATGTGAATGGATTCTCAGACAACATGATTAGACAACAATTTGTAAATATGTTTCCAAATAGGCCGGCTCCATCACGATCAACAATTCAATCTATTATACGTAAGTTTTTACTTATGGATCCGTGTTCGCTCCAAGAGCAGTTCGTAGACGAAGGGAGGTAAATCCAGATTTGGAACTAAGGGACACTTTGATTTGTGCAAGTATTGAGCAAAATCTTACCCAATCAACATCTCGTCTCGGAGAACAATATGGAATTTCAAGATTTAGAGTTGGTAAAATTTTGAAAAGACATGGATACCGACCCTATAAACTTCATAAATCCAACGAACAATTCCCTGGGGATCAATATAGACGTTTAGAATTTTGTCAAACTGCAATGGAAATGTCACATCAAGATGAACATTTTTTAGGGAACGTCTTGTTCACCGATGAATGTACGTTTTCATTGCATGGCCGTCACAATTCAATGAATGCTCGGTATTGGTCCCGAGGAAATCCTCGTCAGATTTATGTCGCTCGTACCCAGCGTCCTCAAAAAGTAAATGTTTGGGGAGGCATAATAGGGAATCATGTCATTGGTCCATTTTTTATAGACGGTATATTGACTGGGCGGAAATACTTGGAACTTCTGCAAAATCAAATTGTCCCAGCCCTTCGTAATTCACCAATTCCTTTCGATTCCATATGGTTTCAACACGATGGTTGTCCTGCACATAATACTCGCATCGTCAGTGAATACCTCAGTGCGACTTTTCCTAATCGATTGATTAGTGGACACGGAGATATTTTTTGGCCTGCAAGATCACCTGATATTGCACCTTGTGATTTTTTTATGTGGGGATATATCAAGTCCAAACTATATGGAATTGAAGAGGATAGGCCTAATTCTCTCCAAGAATTAAGAGAAAAGATCTCTGATTCAATGAGAGGTATTAGTCCAGAAACATTAACTAATGTTAGACGAAACTTTCATAATAGATTCGGTTATTGTTCTGCTGCTAATGGAGGATTATTTGAACATTTTTTGTAAATACATTTCATTAGAATAAAATACGTTTATTTAGAATATTTTTATAGAATTTCTGCTTATTTAAACATTTTTTGTAAGTACATTTATTTAGAACGTTCTTTTATGTTTGAAGAATTTTTACTTTATTTTCGAAAGTACGACATTGTTTTTTCAATAAGATTTTCATGTTTTACTATAAACACTTCTAATAAAGACTGAAATAAATGTTTTATGATTTAAAGCAAAACGATATAATATCTGCATAATTTCAAATTTTTAAAAAAGTAAAAACTTCGTGTAGGATTTGAACCCTAACCGCCTGCATGAGTACATCGTGCCTTGAACCCTGATCCATCAGACTTTTATAATTCTTTTGTGACAGTTTGGGTTAATATTCTGCTGCTAATGAAGGCTTATTTGAACATATTGTAGATACATTTATTTACAATATTTTTTTATTTTTGTAAAATTTTTACTTATTTAAACATTCTTTTAATTTTGAAGAATTTTTACTTTATTTTCGAAAGTACGACGACACTATTTTTTCAATAAGATATTTATGTTTAACTTTAAACACTTCAAATACTAGTAACGACTGACATAAATGTTTAGTGATTCAAAGCAAAACCATCTCTGCATAATTTCAAATTATTAAAAAAAGAAAAAAGAAAAGCTCATGTAGGTTTTGAACTCTAATCATCTAATTCTTACCACCAATCCACGAAGGATTGCTAATTATTATGTGACAAGAGTGTATGAAACTCCTCAAATCATAGTAGAAATTATTCTTGGTTAATAATTTAAAACTTTAGAATAAGTAATCACTATTAATTAAATTATTTTATTCACATTTTTGCTTTATTGTGGTCAATCAGTTTTTACTTTATCTAAATTAAAAAATGGAAATACGTCACACATACGACGTCAAACTGTCAAACATAATAATTATGACCGCGGTGATTTAGATCGAAGGTAACGTCTAAAGGTGTGAGACTATCGATAGTCGTAATGTAATGTAATGTAAATTATAGGTTTCTATCGATTATTTCCCACCTCTACGAGTTTCATCTCCTTTTATTTCACAAGGTAACTGTGTTTTCTATCTCTTACGTTAAAAAGCCGGGTGGTAAGGCACTCACCACTGTATATATATATATATATAAATATATATATATATATATATATATATATATATATATATATACAAAACGAACATTTTTATTTTCGGGAGAGGAAGAGAGAGAAAATATATCTTCTGTCTCTCTCCTACTCATTATCTTACATATGTAATGGTTACACAGATTCACTCCCACGCAAATTTCCAACGCCGACCGTGCGTATGGAAGTATAACTTCAAAATGCATAATACATAAAAAGCAGCATTTTGGAATTAAGTGTCACAATTATTCGCCTTTTACTTTTAAACTACAGGAGTAACACTCATTATATTGATTATAATAATACACTTATAGACATAGTAAACAATATATTACTCATAAAAATTATGTTTTGTGGTTGAATTTTGTGGTTCTATTTGTTGTGGTAATTTGCCAGTAATTTTTCGCAAACTGGTTTTGCTATCTCGTTACACTCATCTTCAGTTTTGAAATTGTTCTTAGTGTTAGTGCATCCATGAGTCATGTCGGTTACACAAGACCTGGTTTTTACGTCCCATCGCCATACTGTTCTAGACGCAATAAGACACATTGCTTCGTATACAATAGTAACAGGTAGAAAGCAATCTAAAAAGAAAGAGATGATGAAGAGCGATGTATGTACTTGAACAATTAATATTTAAAAACAGAAATATTACAAAATATATCAGCTTAACATTAATATACTACTCTCCAAAATTAACGTACCACTTAAAATAGATCATGATTTGAAACTATATTTTTAAACCCTTATATTACAGTGAATGAAGGTAAAAATCAAGTATTACCTCCGATTTCGTTGGACCTACATCGATTTGCATAAAAATTTGGGATTGAGTGTATTGCATCCTTAACTTCAAAAGTGACATATGCTCAACTTACGCTTTTTGCATTTTAGAGGTGAAATCCACCCTTTTTTTAAAAGATGGTAAAAAATGCAGATTTAAGCATTCTGGCATATGTAATCTCGATTAATTAAATAAAATATATATTTTGCAACATTTATAAGTATAATTAATGATTTTAATTATTTTTTCAACCCTTTTAGCAACTATCCCTTAAATCGAAAATCATGAAAAAATCATTTTTTACATTTCTGAAATATCCATATTAATATTAATATTAATATGGATATTAAGAACAACTGTCAAATTGAAATTTCTTAATTGAAACATGAAAATACATTCTTAAAAAAATTTTTTATGCAAAGTTCTTAAAATTTTCCATCAAGACATACAATTCTTAATACACTTAAGTATCAGATAACATAACATTAATACCAGGTTTCTTCTTTATAGTGTTGTTGAACAATTTGAGCCCTTGTTCCTTAAGGATAGCTGTCAGATTGAACATACATTGACCTTGAGCAATGACTTGAGTGAATTTACAAATTAATGTCATTCTGTATGATGTGATGAACACATAAAATTTAATTTTAAAAACTTAATTTTTAGAAAGTCTTTGATGACTAGTAGTAATTCCACACTACTAAACAATTTTGTAAGAATTTAAAAAACAATCTCTATTTCCTATATATGACATTTGTCACCTGTCACTTTTGAAAAATCGTTTAAAAGGACCGACATTTGATTTCACTAGTTCTATTCAGTCTACATCCTCACATCAATAGATGGTCGGGTCTTAAACCCGTACCATGACAAAAAAATTTTTCAATTTTTTAACGTGTTTGTGACGTCCAGTGTCGACCTTTTATATGTTTTTTATATGTTTTAAAAATTCCAACTCCTACAAAATCATAATTGTGAAACTTAAGGAAATGAGATCTCTCCTTTGTAGTGGTATTTAAAAATTGACGTAAGTTAAAAATTACAATCTTTACCAATTAGTACTTATTAGAACATTTTATTGTAGCATAGCTCTGATGATGGCTTTGTAAAGCCGAAAGCGCTCAGCTAGGAATTGCCTAAAATATACACACTTCAAAAATACTTTTTTGCATTTTCTTTCGACTTGTCATAAGTGTGTACAAAAAATATCAGTCTTTTGATTAGTACTTTAATTGTTAATTTTTCACTATTCATCAGAGCTCTATTCATTAATTTCTCCTTTTTCATTAATTGGAGGGCTATTTTGACAATTGTCCCCACTGCATGATTCGCAGATGAATTGCAAAATAACCCTACTCTTCGACACCCGCAAGAAGCGCCGCACCCTTTTTTGCAGTTGCAAAAATCATTTTTAATAATTCTTCTGGAGGTGGATTGGGATTATTAGTTGGATACAAAGACTCTTCAATGCACCATCCCCAGTCAACTAGACAAATATCTTGGTTTCCACGCCATATCTGGATTTGTAAATAAACTCTTTTGATGTGTTCATCCAATGCAGCAACCGTTGGGACCAGAGATGAAAACTTTACTGCACTATTTTTAGTGATAGCCTTAATAAAGGACTCGTTAAGCATCTGTTCCAGATAAACTGATAGGTCTTCGATGCGTTGTTGTTAACTCATATCCACATATTTTGCACTTCCGTATGATACTATTGTGCAGTACCTGCCAGCTTCTAAAATGGCACCGATATATACAACATAGTTACAAAATAAATAACAATCAGCCACATAAAAATAACAACTATTTTAGAACCAGAACCAGCCAGAACCCACTAATCATCAGTTGTCTAATATTACTTCGTCACGAGTTTCTTCTTCCTTTGAAAATATAATCATTACTCCTGAAAAAGTTAAATATCATCTTCAAAGCCTAAAAAATAATTCGTCTCCTGATCTCTACTTAATACCTTCTTTATTTAAAAAAAATGTTCTGATGCTTTAGCTTACACAATATATGTGATTATGTCCTTATCATTTACCGCACACATTTTGCCTCCTATTCGCTCCGTCCGTGCGTGACCATGGTAGGGGTACATTGAAACGACGCCAGCGTGCATAGCGGCGAAATATGACAAAATTGGAATATTGGACAAACTATTTTTACGCATAAATTTTATCAAAAATGTGTGCAAATACATGTTGCGTATTTAATTGTGCTAATAATAGCAAAAACAGTGAGTGTAGTTTTTATAGGTTCCCAAAGATTACATATAAATTAGAGAAAAGAAAAAGATAAATTCCTGCTATTAATATAAAAAAGTAAATATCACATAATTTCATTTTTACGCAATTGAAATAGGAAAAATTTAAATAATTTACCTTAAATGATATTTCATAAGGCTTCAAGCTAACTGCAGATGACTTTAGCTTTTATATCATAACTTTTACTATTATTGTTTTTAATTATATGCTATTTTGCGTGAAAAACTTGATTTGTCAGTACTAGATTTTTCCCTTTCTCTTACGTTTGGAGTTGAAAAGATATATTATGATGAATTTTGAGAAACCCAGTTTTTAATACTACATTTATTTTGTACATAAACTGAAAAAATATAGTTAAAAAACTAATTTATTAATAATTGTCAATTTCGCATGTATTTAACAATGTCAAACATATGTCATATGTTTAACCTGAAAATTGGGACTCCAAAATTGTCAGAAAAAGGCGGTAGGTGTCGTGTCAGTCACGCACGGAGCGAATATGAAAAACCTCATCTGTAACACCGATTTTTAAAAAAAGAAACAAATAGAATCCTAATAACTATCGGGTTATCAGCTTAACACCTAGAATATCGAAGATAATTATTGCCGAGACAATGTCTGATTTTCTGCAAAATAAACTGGTTGTACCAGAATAACAACACGGTTTTGTCAAATGACGTTCTACAATGATAAATCTTCTCTGGTGTGTCAATGAATGGTCAAGAGAATTAGACAGAAAAGAACCGGTAGACATTATTTACCTCGATTTTCACTATAAGTTGGGCATATTGGTACTTATTATTTCTCAGTATGTGGCCTAGGTATGATGTTTTTCTAACTTTTACTGTGTTAAAAAGTTTCCACCACCAGAGAAAAAATCCAGTACCTTCTGCTCGATTACATATACAGGCAAAATAACAACAAAAATTGCCAAACATATAAAAAAGAAAGGAATAACACCAGCTTTCCGAACAAATAACAACCTATGCAAATATATTAAAAATAACAAGAGCCACAATAAAAAACACTTAAATAGTGGTGTGTACAAAATTCAATGTGGCGATTGCCCAAAAACTTACATCGATCAAACTGGTAGAAACTTTGATAAACGAATAGCAGAACATAAAAGGGATTTCAAGAATAGAAAAACAGATTCGACATACGCACTTCACCTTCTATATCATAATCATACTTTTAATGACAAATTTAAAATTCTTCACATTCAAAATAAAGGCCTTAAGCTATCTTTGTTAGAATCTATGGAAATCAACAAATTAAAAAACACAGATATAATTCTGAATGACAACTTGAGACAAACAGTTCTCCCCTCCTCAACCTATTTCATTAGAGACTATAAATTTGTAAACCCAAGCCAAAAATAGATCACTTGAGAAAGTCAATCAGCCGAAACAGCCGTAGTGATAAGATTTAAAATAAATTTTGTGGAAGTTTGAAAACAAAGTTTTCAGTGTTTTATTGTTACAGAAAAAAATAGTGGTTACCAGGTTCTTTCTGAAGTGGTTCAAGTACTAGCTGGGACATTTTCCGAACCACTTAATTTAGAACCGTCTATTATAGTAAATTTGAAAAATGCCCCAGTTACATCAGTTGATGTTGAAAGAAGTTTTTCTATTTACAAATATATGTATTCAGATAGAAGCCATAAGTTTTTATTAGAAAATTTTGAAAATCATTTGATAACCTATTGTTACCAAAATTCAAAATAATATTTATATGTTAAAATAATTGTATATGTTATGTATTTATAATATTGTATAAAAGTAGATTTGTAAATAAAAAATATTGTAGATAAATATTCATATTTTGCATAAAATACTGCATATTTATACGCATATTTCATATTTTTTTATTTGCATATTTGCCCAAGTCTAATCACAATAATAAATATTTACCTTCTGGTCTATAACTTCCATCTGCATAAATGGATACAGTAAAACAGACAAACAAAACAAGGATACTGAAGAATTTCATTTTTGATTTTGAAACTAATAGAAGTAACAATCACCTGCAAATCAAAAGTTTATGCTTTACTAAAATAAATTATGCAATAAATGCTTTATATCATATAGTATGACTATAAAGTCCCCATGTGGGTGGCAGATGATAAGTTTCAAAGGATTGAACAATGTATCCAATACAATTATGTAGGATGTACCATAAAAGATATCTTAAAAGGAATATATTTTACACCATTTAATTATAAAAAATAATAAAAAATCGAAACTTAAAATGACAATTTTAATAGAAATTATTTTAAACTAGGTACCTACCTACCGCTAGAAATTTTATTAACCACTTTATTTTATTAATCAAATAATTATTTTTTGTACCCTTCGTAATTCTCACTTGTACGTACTTTTTTAATAAATTATTACTTTTTGTTTAGTTTTTTATAAAAATCGTTGAATGTCACATACAGTAAAATTTAGTAATGCTTGTACGGTACTGCATGACAGGTGAAGGGAGAGAGGTCACCGATTTTCGTGCAAAGAAGGATTGGTGTATTTTGTATGCAAGAAAGTCGTTGGAGAGGTAATAAGTCAAGAGGTCTTGGAGATGGATGCTAGTTAATATATAGTAGTTTGAACAGTCACGGCAGAAATGTAATAGATAACCTGAAGAAGTGAAAGAATAATGATTGTCCAACCGAATGCTGGCAATGCCAACGTGAACCAATCATATGCAGTGTGAAGAACAAGAAAAGGAAAAATTTTGGAGGGCCCTTGATTGCGAGGTGCTTGAGATTCCTATAGATGAAAAGTGTTTTATTGGAGGTGATGTGAATGGACATATTAGTAGAGAAACAGCGGGAATAGAAAGAGTTCATGATGAAGGAAATAGTGTGATTGACTTTGCGTGGCATGGGACTTAACTGACATTAATACGTTCTTTATGAAGACTAAAGACCAATATGTTACCTTTAGAGGCAAGGCAAGAGAAAATCAAATAGATTTGGTGCTGTGTAGAAGAAGTCGTATCACTATACACTGCTACAATCTAGCGGATGGTATAAGTACTACCTCAAATATCAGCCGTTTTCCTGAGAAGCCAAGAGGCGCAAGAGCCACTTGTACCCCTTGGACTCCAACTGACTGTCATCAGAGTTGTTTGTTGTTGAATGTTGTACACGCTTATCGACACTGTTGCTGTCGTATCTTTTAACTCAAACTTAACCCATATTATTCTACGATAGTTAGCAACTTTAAGAATAAAGTAACCAAAATTTTGCTACCTTAATCGAAATGGCCATCGCAAGTATTGTAGATGAAGAAGAACAGGAGTCTCAACATAACCTCTTTAGCGGCAAGTGAAAATTCTATACAGCCCATAGTTTGTTTTGATATTATCAGATAAAACTAGCGTATGTCTTATTTTTTCAGACGACTCAGATGCAGGTTCTACATACCAGCATCAATCTAGTGACAGTGACAATGAATCCGAAGTAGAACTTGAACTAGCTAAACCAGGACCATGGAAAGAACATAACAAACACCCCGCTAAGAAGAGGCTGAGTAGGTCAGACAATTAGGCACGGGTACGTGCAAATCAGACAAGAAATGAAGGACACCTTTATACTGATCGAAAAGGAACATTGCATCGAGCAAAGCGTATGGAAGAGTTTAACCATTACTGTAGATACGGTTGTAATCCCTAATGACAAATGCCAATATATTTTTGACAGTTATTGGGGACTGGGAAGCTGGTACCTTTAAACTTATTTTTTATGTTCTTGCATAAGCCTTCAAGATCCTGCAAGAAAATAACCTAATACGAGCTGTGTAAAGAGAACAAGCTGTACTTACACATTAGAAGGGTATAGAGTATGCAAAGCTTATTTTTATGAAAACCCTTGATGTCAGTAATAAACAAGTTACTAATGTTATAATGAAAAAAATGACCTGCACAAACTCGGTTTCTCACAAGGACCAAAGAGGTGGTAAAGATCCATCGAATAAAAAACAGATAAAACATTTACTTAATCAAAGAGCATTTAAAGTCGCTTCCTAAGTACAGTAGCCATTACTCTAGGATTAGATCTCCAAATGTGAAGTATTTGAGCGTGGAACTGACAATGGAAAAAATCTACGCTTTGTGTGTAGAACTGTATATGGAAAGAAACATGAACCCTGCCAAGGAGAGTTACTATAGGTATATTTTCCGTACTAATTAATAATTAATTGAAAAAAAATGGCAAAAAATAGACCAGTACACATGGCATTCATAGATTTAAAAAAAGCATATGACACGGTTCCCAGAAAACAACTATGGAACACGATGAATGAAATCGGGATAACTCAGAGGTTAATAGAAGCCGTAAAAAATCTTTACAACAACAATAAGGTATGAGTTTAAACCGGCAATAAATACTCCAACGAATTTAAGACCACAAAAGGCTTATTGCAGGGATGCTCTACATCTTCGACACTGTTTAAGATATTCCTCGAACAAATATTAAAAAGTAAGAGAAAGTAAGAGAATACCAATCCGGGACAACTTCTTGTGCACATTAAGCTTTACAGATAACCAAGTGGTAACGGCTCAAGATAAAGAAGATCTGTGCTATATGCTCCGAAAATTAGAAAAGAAATATACAAAAAATGGACTTGAAATAAACCTAAAAAAGACCGAATATTTAACAACAGAGCAAGAACCAGTGAGAAACTTGGAAATGGACGATGATAGGGAAATTAAAGGCACTGAAATATTCAAATATTTAGGATTTATATGGGATTTATATAGGATTTATAACATGTATTAAACAAATGAACGGGGTACTGTGGGATAGACAGATTACCAGAAATACAAATAAGAGAATTTATAACACCTGGGTACGCAGTATAATCATCTATGGAGCAGAGAATTGGGTAATAAATAAAGGAAACAGGTCAAAAATCACAGCAACTGAAATGAAGTTCATGAGAAGAAGCTGTAGAGTAACAAAAATAAATCGCATTAGAAATGAGGATATTAAACGAAGAATGGTAGTAGAACAAGACATACTCAACTACAATAAAGAAAAACGTTTAATTTGGTACAAGGTGGATAGCAAAGGTTTTGGATTGGAGCCCAATAGGAAGGAGGAAAAGAGGTAGACCCCGAAGATCATGGAGGGATGAAGTGGACGAGGCCATGAAGAAACGACAGCTGTAAAAATCCTTATATAGATAGATAGACATGAAATCCTCAAGAGCTGGTCGATCTCTCAACGAATTCCCGTTATTATCAGCAACAGGACACAAGACAAAAATCAAGAAACTTAAATTTGACAACTTACAGTTACTTTTGCCATTCGTTTTCCCCTATCCACCACGACTTCTTCAACACCTTATGCTCAACAGCCTTAGCCTAATACGCTAATGGGGTTAACAATGTTCTTGTCAAAGTTAACTAGAAGGTTATTGTTCCCCCAGATGCCGAAGAGCGAGGAAACATTTTTGATAGCAAGTCAGAAGCTGATTAGTTATACTTCAGGAATGGTAGTATTAAACTGATTTAAACAATTTTGTGACTCATTCTGTTAATGATTTTGTGTTAAATTACATTATTTTCACCACAGTTGTATTTTTTACTTAATCCTAATTTTCATATATAAAACAAACCCAAAGGGTTCAGTCAATATCTGGTTCTATTTTTGGAAGCCAAGGGGTGCAAGTGATCACTCTTATCATCTTATTAAGGATTGTAAAATAAGGGCAAAAACCTATGTATGTTTCATGTGTATAAAACAATTACTTATAATTTTAAAAGAAAATAAACTTAATCCTTCGTTTTCTCATTATCAATATTTAGTCACTTGTACCTCTCTAGGCTTCTAGGCTCCTCGTATAAAATATATAATTTTTTACTTTGAGAACTAACGAAATTATAATGAATAAAAAGAAAAAGACAGTCAAGATTTGATTTTACATACAATGCGTCTGTGTATCTGCTTATATGTATTTCATTATGCTCATCAGAACAGCTATTCACAGGGGTTCTGAACGTGAAAATAAATCTTTTCTATCTTAACCCATTCGCTGCCATGTTCTAAATTTGGAACGATTGTTAGTTTCGCTGCTGGGTACAAGATGTCACTGTTGGTCTTAAATCTGATAAACTATTTTTGTTCGGTAGTGTCAAAACAACACGTCCATTTGTACTGAATTTACTCACTGGTTTCGTATAAGTGGCATTTGTTTTGTGATTCATATCAAAATTTCAAGGAAGGTGCAGTTGTATAACTTCTAGTTCGATTATATCTATTTTCTGTTGTGAAATATTACGATTGCTTGAGTGGAGACCATGGGCTGACAAGTGAAGCCGGGGAAGACTCCCAACGCGATGGACCGATGACCTCAAAAGAATCGTGACCAATTGGATAGCAGATGCGCAGAACAGAAGCAGATGGAAAAATCCAGAGGAGGCCTATGTTTAACAATGGATTCAGGAACATGGAACTTAGCGGTATATAATGCTAATTGAGGTTTTTCTTTTTAGTTTGGTATTATGGATGTAAAACATTTTATGGAAAGGAAACGAGTTGTTCAGCTGTTACTATGAAGAATCTAATCGATGATCTAAATAAGAAACAGAAGGAGTTTGATTCTGCAAACATATACATTTATCCTCCAACGGAAGATTCTGATGAAGATTCTGATGAACATTCTGAATCATCGGATGATGTGAAGTTCAATGATTTTTCTGATAAGTTTTCGTATCGTTCTACTGAACGCCCCAGCTGAGGCAACTCTTATTTCACAATGTGTACTGGAGTTTGGATTTGGATCTCAGAAACGAAGCAATCGCCAAGGCAATGCCTAGAAATAGGTTTAGAGAAATTTTGCAAAATTTACAATTTTCTGATAACAAACACTAAGCTACAAAAAATAAGTTTGCTAAAATAAAACCACTTATAGAACATTTAAACAGTTCATTTATAAAATATGTGCCGGTTGGTGAAACCATATCAGTATCTGTTGATGAATCCATGGTACCGTACTACAGCCACCATAGCTGTAAACAGCGTATTCAAGGGAAACCCATTAGATGTGGGTTTAAATTTTGGTCTCAGAATGTATCAAATTGTTATCTTGTGGGTACCGAACCTTACCAAGGGAAAGGAACCTTACTAGGAGAGAGTAACTTGGGGCTAGGTGGATCTGTAGTTACAACTTTTGCCGAGAGGGTGAAGCATAATTTTCCGGATCAAAAATTTTACTTTTTTATTGACAACTTTTTTACCGGACTTCCACTGATAAAGGCCATGAGTGAATGGGGATATGATTGCACGCGCACCATTAGACATAATCGAATTGGGAAATGCGCGTTGAATAAAAACGCAATGAAAAAATCAGTTAGAGGATCCGCTGATTCATACACAAGTTCTGATGAAGATATAATAATTATCCAGTGGAAGGATAACGCCATCGTTCACGTGACTTAAAATTGTTATGGCGTTCAACCTACAAAATCGGTACGTCGTTATTCTGCAGCAGAAAAATAAATATATAATGGTAGACCTTCCCCTTCGCAATTCAGCAGTATAATACTCAGATGGTAGGTACTGATTTAATAGATAGAAATATCGCTAACTATAGACCAAAACTGCGTAACAATAAATGGTGGTGGCAAATTTTTGTTCACCTTTTGTCTGCTTCAATCTCTAACGCATGGATTTTATATAGAATTCAACACCACAATAACATTCAATTTAACGCTGATGAATTCGTTGAAAGTATGCGTCCATTGGATTTATTAGGGTTTACAAGAAGCATTTTGGCAACATATCTACTACTCAACCCTCGACAACCAAAACCTGATAAGACAAAATTAGGAACATTATTTCGAAAAATTCCAGAATTTGTTTCACAAAATATGTCGGTTCTGCTTTACCCAATTTCTTTAAAACAAAACAGATGCAAAATTTGTAAAACAAACACAACTTTTGGATGCGGTATTTGTAAAATTAATGTACATCCTATTAATTGCTTCAAATCTTTTTATGAAAAAAATTAATAGATCATTAACAGATAAATAAATTTTTTAGACACAGGGCTATTGTGAAAAGATTAAGAATTTTTTAAATGTTTTTCTATAAGTTCAGAACATAAAATTGACCTGTAGAAGCTATAAAATTAAAAAAAAGAAGTTTGGCAGCGAATGGGTTAAGAAAAAACTCTTACATGGCTTCGTATAGACGCAAATAGCGACATCTGATATTAGAATCCGTAAACTAATTTTCGAAACCAAATTCAGATTTTGGCTTTAATGTGTGCCTTCTAAGAATTGCAAGGCAAAACAGACGTTGATAAATATGTTAATATTCTTATGTTAAAGTTACTTCTTAAGATTTATTTTCACGTTCAGAACGCCTGTGAATAGCTGTCCTGATAAGCCCTATTAGGGCGAAATAGGTAATACGCAGATACACAGACGCATTGTACGTGAAATCAAATCTTGATTAAAAAAGAGGTTAGATCTTTGTAAATGGGTATATTTAAAAAAAAAAAGAGTACAAAAAGGTACAAAGATCTAACCTCTTTTTTCTGATACGTGGTATACAGCCAGCTGTAGGAATTATTTTCCTTGTGGATTTCAAATCTTGACTGTCTTTTTCTTTTTATTCGGATATACTCTGTATGAGTACAAGAAACCAATTCGCTAAGGATTTTTGCTTAGTTGAGGAGATATATCGTGGAATGCAAATTGTAGATTCCCCATGTCTCTAATAACATCTTTATCAACGTCTGTTTTCCTTGCAATTCTTAGAAGGCGCAGATTAAAGCAAAAATCTGAATTTGGTTTTGAAAATTAGTTTACATATTCTTATAATGAATAATTTACACAAAAGCTGTATCAGGGTGACCTTAATTAATAAAAAAAACCAATTAAAATTTTAAAATTTTTATTTAACTAAATGTCTAAATCTTAGTTGGCCAAAGCGAGTTGTGCGGCAGTTAGCTTTTCACAAACAGGTTTAGCAACTTCGTTACATTTGTCCAAGGTGAAGAAATTGTTCTTGGTGCGGTTGCAGCCTCCGTAGTTGTCACGTACACAAGCTTGAGCTTTGATGTCCCATCTCCAGACAGGAATGAGGGCCATACAAGCGACTCCTATGTTGCTTTCGACAGGTCTGAAGCAATCTGTAATAAAAAATTAATGCTTAATTTAAACCTATGCTTCAAACTTGTGAACTTTAAGGATGACTTAATTAAATTTAAGTAGAAAATATAACATAGCAGCATTGTTAATTGAATATTTTATATATGCCAATAAACCACCCTAAAATGCAATATAAATTATATTTTAGGTTGTGGCATTTTAAAGTAATTACTATTTAAATGGGAATAAGCCACAATTAAAGGTTAAAATACGTTTATTGACGTTTCAATTTCCACTTATAAGATTACGATAGCATCAAGAAAAGTTGTGAACAACTCAAAAGTAACATAATTAACACAGCAAGAATCACTTGGAGAGAGGAAAGTAACAAACACTAACATATCAAAAAAGAAAACACCATGGTTTCGAGTAAAAGCGAAGACAAAATGTGAACAAAAGAAGAAACCCTTTTTTCAATACAGAACATAACAAACACAACAGGCATGAAAACTATAAAAAAATCGGAAATGAAACGAACACTTTAGTAAGACAAATAAAAAGGTAACACTGGCAGAGCTTCTCAAAACAGATGAAATTGGACTTCCACAGAACACAAAAAGAAATATGGAGAATGATCACAGAAAAAAGAAAAGAGATGAACGAACTTACAAAAACGAAACACATTACATATAAGATCACCGGGACTGCCTTTTTTGAACTATAAAGACAACACCCCAGAAGATTACTCCATATCGCATAACAGAATAAAAGTTTGCATAATATACTGATAGTAAAATCCCCCGGCTCTAGATAGCTCTTTAACATTCTTAATGAGTAGCAGGCTGTATTCAGTTTTTTTGCTGTATTTTGTATTTGTTCCCCCCAATTCAGATTCTGGTCAATATGAATACCAAGAAATTTAACTGATCTAACAGGTTCCGTGTTTTGTGATAGAACATTAATTGTATCTGACTGACTGGTTCTAAAGTAGACAAAAACTGTCTTATCAGTATTAAGCAACAACCTATTTCCACTGAACCACTGTTCAGCCTTGCTTAGAATTTACTCTGCCATTGTGAGAAGTGTTTCTAAAATCTTTTCCCAGAAAAGCACATTTGAGTCATCAGCGAAATTTCCAAGGTTTGAGGAACTACTAACCACTGCATTTGGAAGGTCGTTTATGTAGTCCAAAAAAAGAAAAGGCCACAGAAACTCCCCTGTAGTATACCTAATTTTAAATTGATCGGTTCAGAGTAAACCTTACATCCCCTTTTCTCTAGGCATACCTTTTGCGACCTATCTGTGAGAACTGATTTTATCCATTTTAATGCCGGTCCCTGTATTCCACAAAGATGTAATTTTTTTAATAAAAGAACATGATCTAGGCTATCGAAAGCCTGAGATAGGTCCAAAAAGCACTCAGTGTTTTCATCTTTGCCTCGTTTTATATCATAATTATTAAAGTACTTTTGTGATTTTTTTTGCTCTATTTATCTCTTTAAGTGGAAAATATTCTATAAAAATTTTCTGAACTATACTAATAAAGCATCCCACTGATTATCTACTTCTGATGTCTCAAAAACAGATACCGAAAACCAGTCTACATTACCTAACATGAATTTAAAAAAAATTTTATTCTCCTTGCTAAATTTTCATTTGCATTGGGCAATACATACAACACATACAACAAACCGGCATATCTATTTTTCGTAGACCTTAAGAAGGTATTTGACTGGGTCAAATTAAAGGACGTTATCCACTTATTCGCTGGAGGTCGTCCATTCAAACAGTCAGATCATATCCAGGGGCGATATGCGGATCCGATCATACTCTCCTCGTAGCTAAAGTAATGCTTAAACTTAAAGCACCCATCAAACAAAGAGAGATAAAGAGGATAGAACTAAGAAAGAAAGACGACCTTCTACAGGAAGTACAGAAAAGTATGCCATCTATTCCTAACGGAACATCACAAGAAATATGGGAGACTGTTAAACATTGCGTAACAACACCAGTGGATCGCTCAAAGAAAAATAATCTGGTGAAACGGAAACATTGGATAACAGATTACTTAAAATAATTAAGAATAGAAGAAATCTTTGTCAAAGCGGTGTGTATATAGTGAAAGGGAAACAGCTAGTTTAAGAAACCTCAATAAAGAAATAAAACGAAGATGTAAGGCCGACAGAAAACAGTAGTATCAAAGTATATGCAAAGAAATTGAGAGACATGGTCAGAATAATCAGTCGAGAGATCTATTTAGAATAATACGCTACCTGACTAGACACTTCAGAGCCAGTACTTGGGCCATTGAAGATAACACTGGAACCCTGAGAACAAACAGAGAAGACATAGCAGAGACATGGAGATCGCATTGCAGGGACCTATATAAAGATGATCAACGCCAAGAGCTTGTTAGCCAAATCTCTGACGAGGTGGAAGAAGAACCTGATATACTTGAAAATCAAGTAAGACAGGCTATCAACAAGCTCAAATATAACAAAGCACCAGGTCCAGATAAGATAACAGCAGAAATGCTTAAAGCCACAGAAGAAACCGGCGTAAAGTTACTTCATTTACTCTGTAACCAAATATGTCATTCCAAACAATGGCCTGAAGACTGGACAAAATCTACAATAACGACCATACATAAAAAAGGCAGCTTCCATAAATGCGACAATTATAGAACTATCTCTCTTATATCCCATGCCAGCAAGATAATGCTACATATAATCAATGAGAGACTGAAAACATTCCTCCAAAGAGAAAGTCCACAAGAGCAAACTGGATTTACCAAAGGTAGAGGCACTCGAGAACACCTGCTGAATATAAGACCGATAATCGAGAAATCTAGGGAATTCAACATCCCACTATACATCTGTTTTATAGATTACCGTAAAGCGTTCGACAGGGTCAAGTGGAGACACTTATGGCGAATACTAAAAGAAGTAGGCGTACCGCAACATCTAATTACGCTTGTAACTGAACTATATGAACACACTACTGGACACACTTTCGAACGAGTTTCATCTAGAACGGGGTTTATAATAATCTCCACAATTATTCAACATATATGGGGAGTATATTATGCGAAGAGCACTTGAAGGATGGGAAAAGGGCATCCCAATAAATGGTAATAAACTAAACAACCTTCGCAGATGACACAGCTCTTCTTGCAAATAGTCAAGCAGAGCTGATAGAACTTATACGACTGATCGAAAACGAAAGTCAAATATTTGGTCTGCAATTAAACATATCAAAGGCAAAGATCATGATAGTGGATAGACTACACAACAATCATCCACACATAACTACAATTGACCGGTTCGAGGTTGTGAGCTCATACTTATATCTGGGATCAATAATCACAAACACAGGGTCATTACAAGAAGAGATTAAACGTAGATGTGATCTAGCAAAAGTTGCCACAGCAAAAATGACCAAAATATGGAAGGACTGTCAAATTTCAAGAGCGATAAAGATGAGGTTGATCAACTGCTTAATATTTCCAATACTGACCTACGGATGTGAATGTTGGACTCTGAGATAATCAGAGAGAAAAAAGATAGACGCCACTATAATGTTCTGTTGGAGACGAATGTTACGAATTCCTTGGACCGACCGTAGAACAAATAATTCAATTTTAAGAGAGCTAAAAATTAGCCAACGACTCTATAGTAAAGTCCATCTCCAACAATTAAAATATTTTGGGCATGTTATAAGAGCAAACACAGAAAACATGGAAAGACTCATAATACAAGGAAAGGTAGAAGGCCGAAGATCACGAGGAAGATCCCCAACAAGATGGATAGATCAAATTACAGGAATATGCCAAAGACCTATGCATGAATTAAAAGAAATGACCAGAGACAGAGATCTCTGGAGACGGACAATACACATCACGTCGACCACTACACTCCCCCTGGGAGGTCAGGATTGAAGAGAGAGAGATCCACTTATTGTACGCAAGAGATATACCTCTAGGAATAATCAAAACGCTACCAAAACAACACAATAAAAGTAAAAGTGAAAGATGAACTAAGCAACCCAATTGAAGCTGGCAATGGGATAGGACAAGGAGATGCCCTAAGTCCTCTATTGTTTAACCTGATTTTGAATGAAATAATAAAAAAAGAAAGAACTAAAAAAGGATACCAAATAAAAGAAAAGCAACTTAAAATGAAGACGATTGACAACGTATGCTGCACCAATTTAATATAACCGCCAGAAAATTTAACATGTTAATTTCCTCAAAAAAGACAAAATACATGGTTACAACAGCAAATTTAGTAAGATATAAATTGGAGCTGGAAGGTTAGATAATATAACAAGTGATGGAGTTGAAATATCTAGGCATCACATTATCTTGCTACGGAAAGCTCCAAACTGAAGTGGTAGATCAAGTGAATAGAGCAAACAGAGCTGTAGGCTACCTGAATTAAACAATATGGAGAAATAAAAATATCGGGAAAAAAATGAAAGACAGACTTTACAAAACAGTCAACAGACCAATGATAACATAAGCGGCAGAAACACGACCTGACACAGATAAGAAAAAAAGGATGTTATAAACAGCAGAGATGAAAACACTTAAAAAAATTAATGGTAAGACAATATGGAACGGGGCAGGAAGTACAGATATACGACGTAGATGCAGGAAGAAGAACATCAAGGACTGGGTAAGAAATAGAAAAGTAGAGCGAAACGATATTATAAGCCGAATGACAACAAATAGTATATTAAAGAAATCAAAGGATGATTTCTCAATAGGAAGCCAATTAGTAGTCAGTAGGAAGATCAGGAAAACGATAGAACGACAACTTACTAGTGGTACATTGAAAATAGATAGTCATGTCTACATAAAAATAATATAAAGGTAGTCTAGATCTAGTATCAAACAAGAAATGTACCACTTTTTTTGTATTAAAAATAATAATTATTTAAATAAAAAAGTTACCTCTAGGTAGGTAGGCTCTAGCATTCAAAACTTCTTCTGTTTCAAGCAATGATGGTGCGATGTTCTCGACGGTTACTTCTTGATCGTCGGCGTACACAAATGCCGTCAAAGCGACAAGAGAAAATAAGAAATAGATGAACTTCATTTTTGTTTATCGTGAGTTCGTTAAAGATACGAAAATCAACTACAAACTGTTATCGACCAGAAGCATTCTTATATACCCGGTGACATGACCTCTGTTTTTGTAAGAGGAAATAAAATAATTATATAACTTATCAATAGCTAATTTACTGTTTATATTTAAGATAATTCTAATTTGGAAATTTTTTTGAACCTGACAAATATTTTGCTTAGCAACAATTTTAAAAGATTTTCGAATGACATAATTTTACAAGAACTGTAAAGATAATATCGTTAATTAGTTAAGTAAACTGTTTATTAAATAAAAAATATTACTGTGTAAAGGTTTTCTAATTTATTTCTAATACTTTTAGTCATTATTATTATCATCAGTGATGCTACAGCCCTAGTTGATCCTTGAGTCCCCAGTCTATCTCTATTTCTGTTCATCGCAAACTGTTCTGTTTGCTGCGCTTATCTTCCTCGCGTTCTCGTTCACACGTTACCTCCATCTCAGTTGGACGTATACGAACTTATCATTTTATTGTAGACCCTCCGAGATATAGTAAACTGATCACCAGCATCCTTTGAAGTAGGTTGACTTATCACCGCATACAGGTAAACTCATCACCAGCATTTTTACCCCAAGGTGCTAATTTCTAATGAGAAAGAATGTCTATTATCTGTTACACCTCTCGTTTATGTAGTAATTTATTAAATTCAGAAATTATTTTAAGCAAATTGCTTTAAAATAGATATTAATATCGGGTTTCTTAGGGTATGGCCTATTATACGTATCTGCCAACCTAAATAGTTTTGAAAACCAGAATACAATATAAAGAAACAGCCGTGGATGAGACAAGAAATATTGGAGCTAATTGAAGAAAAGAGAAAACACAGAAATAAGAATGAGGAAAGGTACAAAGAAATAAACAAAATCATTAAGAAAAAGATTAAAGAAGCAAAAGAATCATGGCTATCCCTCGAACAGAGCATGACACTTTTACCTACATAAAAAGATCAAAACCTTGTGAGGAAACGGATCACGAAGCCATAACTTATTACTAGACGAGAACAATAATCTGCTCTATGAAAAAGATAGAATACTTGAGAGATGGAGGCAATACATGGAAGAATTATTCAAGGAAGAGCAACATACAGAAGTCGGTGTTTCTGGATGTTCAGTACCAGAACTAACGCTCAGTGAAGTAACATATACAATAAAAAGACTAAAACCCAACAAAGCACCTGGACCTGATAACATACAAGCTGAACTACTGAAACTATTTGAAAATAACCAACTCAAACTCCTAACGAGTTTACTGAACTCTCTCTCTTCATTCCTGACCCCCCAGGGGGAGTGTAGAAGTCGACGTGATGTCGTGTATTGTCCGTTTCCAGAGATCTCTGTCTCTAGTCATTTCTTTTAATTCATGCATAGGTCTTTGGCATATTCCTGTAATTTGATCTATCCATCTTGTTGGGGATCTTTCTCGTGATCTTCGGCCTTCTACCTTTCCTTGTATTATGAGTATTTCCATGTTTTCTGTGTTTGCTCTCATAACATGCCCAAAATATTTTAATTGTTGGAGATGGACTTTCCTAGAGAGTTGTTGGCTAACTTTTAGCTCTCTCAAAAAAATTGAATTATTTGTTCTAAGGTCGGTCCAAGGAATTGGTAACATTCGTCTCCAACAGAACATTTCAGTGGCGGCTATCTTACTTCTCTCCGATTGTCTCAGAGTCCAAGATTCACATCCGTAGGTCAGTATTGGGAATATTAAGCAGTTGATCAACCTCATCTTTATCGCTCTTGAAATTTGATAGTCCTTCCATATTTTGGTCATTTTTGCTGTGGCAGCTTTTGCTAGATCACATCTACGTTTAATCTCTTCTTGTAATAACCCTGTGTTTGTGATTAATGATCCCAGATATAAGTATGAGTCAATTGTGGTTATGTGTGGATGATTGTTGTGTAGTCTATCCACTATCATGATCTTTGTCTTTGATATGTTTAATTGCAGACCAAATATTTGACTTTCGTTTTCGATCAGTCGTACAAGTTCTATCAGCTCTGCTTGACTATTTGCAAGAAGGGCTGTGTCATCTGCGAAACGTAGGTTGTTTAGTTTATGACCATTTATTGAGATGCCCTTTTCCTATCCTTCAAGTGCTCTTCGCATAATATACCCCCCATATATGTTGAATAATTGTGGAGATAGTATACATCCTTGTCTGACAACCCGTTCTGGATGAAATTCGTTCGAAAGTGTGTCAAGTACTTTAACTGTTCCAGTAGTGTGTTCATATAGTTCGGGTATAAGCATAATTAGATGTTGTGGTACGCCTACTTCTTTTAGTATTCGCCATAAGTGTCTCCACTTGACCCTGTCGAACGCTTTACGGTAATCTATAAAACAGATGTATAGTGGGATGTTGAATTCCCTAGATTTCTCGATTATCTGCCTTATATTCAGCAGGTGTTCTCGAGTGCCTCTATCTTTGGTAAATCAAATTTGCTCTTGTGGAATTTCTCTTTGAAGGTATGTTTTCAGTCTCTCATTGATTATATGTAGCATTATCTTGCTCGCATGAGATATAAGAGAGATAGTTCTATAATTGTCGCATTTATGGAAGCTGCCTTTTTTTATGTATGGTCGTTATTGTAGATTTTGTCCAGTCTTCAGGCCATTGTTTGGAATGCCATATTTGGTTACAGAGTAAATGAAGTAACTTCACGCCGGTTTCTTCTGTGGCTTTAAGCATTTCTGCTGTTATCATATCTGGACCTGGTGCTTTGTTATATTTGAGCTTGTTGATAGCCGTTTACTGAACAAAATCAATGAAATTGCAGTATTTCCTACATATTGGCTAGTTTCTACCTTCATCCCTCTTCCCAAAAAGGCAAATGCTTCCAGATACTCTAATTACAGATTTATAAGCTTAACGAGCCATGCACTCAAAATCCTTGTTTCTGTTATTTACTCTAGTATATAGAAAACTTGAAGAAAACATTAGCAGTGTTCAGTTTGGGCGTAGAAGCGGACTGAAAACACGAGAGGCTCTATTTTCTCTACAAGTATTGATACAAAGAGCTCGAGACGTAAATTGAGAAGTCTACGCATGCTTTATAGACTTTGAAAAAGCATTTGACAAGGTGCAACATCAAAAATTATTTCAGATACTAAAAGAATCTAGTATTGATGACAAAGATTTACGCTTAATTAAAACTTTATACTTAACAGCATAGGACAACTATACGAGTAGACAACGAAACCTCACAAGAATTCACGATAAAACGGAGAGTACGTCAGGGATGCATTTTGTTACCGACGTTGTTCAATACTTTCTCGGAAATGCTGTTCAAGGAAGCTATTGATGGTTTAAGGGAAGGTATAAAAATCAATGGTGAAATCATAAACAATTTAAGATATGCGGACGAAACGGTTTTGATTGCTGATTGATGTAGTGGAAGCCTGTGACAGATACGGCATAAAATTAAACTGTAAGAAGACCAAAAGTCTTGTAGTAAGTAAAAACGACGTAATATCGCACCAATTCACAGCTAATAATGAACCCTTGAATATAGTCGACAAAATTACATATCTTGGATGCAGACTAAATAAGGAATGGGATCATTCACAAGAAATAAGATGTCGTATAGAAAAGGCAAGAGCTGTCTTCAATCGCCTCAGAAAGATTTTATGTAATATGCACCTGAACATTGATATAAGAACACAAGTCTTGAGATGCTATGTATTTTCTACACTTTTATATAGAGTTGAAGCCTTTACATTGACGGAGGCAACATCCAAACGATTAGAAGCCTTCAAAATGGGTTGCTACCGCATGCTCAGAATTTCCTATATCCATCATGTTACAAACAACACCGTGATCCAACGTATGAATAAAGATCGGAAAATTATGCGTATCGTGAAAATCAGAAAGATGACATACTTAGGGCATGTGATGCGCAATCAGAAGTATCAACTAATTCAACTAATTTTACAAGCCAATATAGAAGGCAAAAGATCTCAAGGGAGCAGAAGGACATCATGGTTGACGAATATCAGACAGTGGGCAGGAATGACTACCATGCATCTATTTAGAGCAGCTGTCAACAAAGTTGTATGAACCAATATGATTGCCAACATGCACAGAGGATAGGCACCAAAAGAAGAAGAATTGTTGTCCTCTATAACCCCAGTGGCTTAGACGATATTAAAATAAATAAAAAACAAAATTATATTTCAGGTACTTCTAACTTTATTGACCGCAGCTCGAAATAGTCCTGAAGTGGTCAAGGAAAACCATTTTCGTAAATTCTGGAGCCAAGATATTCTTCTTCTTCCTAGTCCCCTCTTTCCGTAGACCTTTCTCTGAAGTATAAGTTGCAGCAGGTTATATGTATGGTCGTTTTGCATTATATGTACAAGATATTCTAGCTTGCGCTATTTCACTGTGGATATAATTTCCCATGTCTTATCCATCCGACGTAGAACCTCTTGTTACTCGGTCCACCCAGGAGTTCCTCAGTATCCGTCTATAACACCACATCTCAAACGACTAGGGTTTTCCCATCCCATGGATGCCTCGGTTAGTGTCCATGAATCAACCCCATAGAGCAGCACTGTAAACACGTAGCATCTCAATAAACGGATTTTTGTTTTTAAGGGTAGGTCGTGGCTCTTAAATATCTTGCTTATTCTGACAAACGCTGACCTAGCTTTTTCAATTCTCTGTTTTATCTCAACTGAGTGGTCCCATTGGTCATTTATGGTGGTTCCTAAATAGTAGTAATGGGGCACTTGGAGTATTTATTGCTGACCTACCAGTAATTGTCTGGGTGGAATATGCTTCTTACTGATGATTATGTTCTTGGTTTTCTTGACGTTAAAATCAAGCCCGTACTCCTGACTGATTCTCCACACTGCGTTACTAGTGTCTGTAAACCTTGTAGACTGTTTGCAAAGAGGATGGTGTCGTCTCACCATTTATAAGAATACCCTCTTCGATATGCTCTAA